CGAAGAGACGAGAAATTTTGTTGGAAGAATCACAACAAAATTACAATAGAGAGCTTGCAGCTCATGCTGCTGCTGTAAAATCTTTGAACGATTTACAGAATCAACATAAAGAATTGCAGGAAGAATTTAATCAATTAAAGGTAATAACTTCGGATATTATTTCTTTGTTACCTTAATTTAATCATCTCTAATTATAAGAAACCTGTTGAATCGAATAGGAAAAATCCCAACAGGCAGAATCCTTGTGGGATAATGTACGAACTCGATTGGAAAAAGAATTAGCAGACTCTCAACAAATGTAATAATTCTTTATTGTTTTATATTGCAACAATATTGGAAATTTCGAAAACACTTTCTTACATTCTTAATCAATGATTGATAGGTGCAATGATCTTGGAAACGATAACAAAGTTCTTCGTAATTATTTCAATAATATGACCACTGATAAGGCTTCGCAGTATCACGTGATATCTCTGTTACGAAGTGATCAACAAAAGGTAGAAGCAGAAAAAGAATATTACGCAAAACAGGCCGAAAGGTATAAGGCGCAATTAGAACAAACTCAAAAGAATTATGATGAAATTCAAGCATTACTCCTTAAGGTTTTATTCGGTTTTCTTTTAATTCTAAGATAAATTTCACTGGATTTTGTTCTGATTTTTGTATCACGTTTTTAATATAGGAACGAGCGGATAAGTCTTCTCCTGATAAGCAACTTAGAAACGAACTTCTAGAGGCACAAAAATTATCAAAAATTCTTGATGAAAGTAATCAGACTCTACGAAGTGAAAAGGAAAACTTAGATAAGAAGATGTTAGAATTGGAGTCTTCATTAAAAGGATCCGAAGAGAAAAATAATTCTCTTGAAGGTTAGTATTGTATTATCCAACACCTTTCTGGCTATCGTTACCAATTCCAATTCCCTAAAATTTATATTAAAATTATTATTCTTTCATTTGCAATTTTTAAAATTTAAGCTGAAATCCGAAACTTGAAGGTTGAAGTTAGCACTTCTAAACAAGAAATAACCCTTCTTAAAGACGATAACAATAAATGGAAGGATAGGTTCCAAACCGTGCTTAAGAAATATGGAGTATGCATTATAACAATGACGTTTTTTGTAATTATTTTGTTAAGTCATCGCGTGTATAGTTATTCATTGATATTCCTTATTAAATCTTACAGATCAATGATCCTACCGAGCTACAACAATTGCAAGAAAATTTAAAATCTATCACAGAAAATCTAAAAACTACTTCAGAAGAACGTGACACATTAAAGACTGAAGTTGAATCCCTGACACAAGACCTTAATAAAGCCAAAAGTGCATACGAAAATACTATCAAGACTACTAAAGCTCAGGTATTTGATTGATAATGAGTGATGCTTGATTTGTGTTTCAAGTATTAATTATGATTTTGCTTTACGAACGAATATATATATATATAGTACGAAAATTTGAAAGCACAAGCAATAAAGCTCAAAAACGAAAAAGATGGTATCAAGATAAAGGCCGAACAATTAGAGAAAGATAGTGTACAATTGAAACAGGAGAATACGAATTCGAAGCAGGAAATTACAAAATTAAAGGAATTAAATGAAGCACAGAAGAAAAAAATCCACGGGCATATGCAGAATATACAACGAAAAGCTGCAAGCCAGGTTCATGCATGTCAGAAAGAAATTGAAGAATTAAAGAAGGAAAATGAAGAATTGAAAAAACAAATTGAAGAGTTGAAGAACCAAGCCGAAGAATTGAAGAAACAAACCGATGAAAATACTAAGCAATTTGAAGAAGATCGTGCAGAATGCTTGAGAGTAAAGGCTCAAGAATCTCTTTATACGAGTAGGTTGAAAAGAATGGAGGCCGAAAATTCTGATTTGAAACAAAAAGTTCAATCTTTATCTGAAAGTTCATCAAAAGCAGAAAGTTCTAATCAATCAACAGCCGAACCTACTGCAAAAGACACGGTAGCAATGACGGAAGATTTTTTGCAATCGTTAACATTATTGCCTATAGCACCTCCTTCACCTTCAATTTCAGTTACTCCCAATTTACCTACAACTCCAACTGCTGTAATAAAATTAGATTTAAATACAACAAATGCTTCACCAAAAAGCCCTCTCCAAGCTACGCAAGAATTACCTATCGACAAACAGGATGATGTTTCACAATCACCAAGTGTTCCGCCAATTATTCAACAAACCAATATTCCACCAAACAATGTTCAATCTGCCACTACTAGCGGTGTTGATAGTCCAAACACTACCACCACTTCGGTTTTAGCTAAGAATTCTGGTAATAATAACAATAATAATAACAATAATAATAATAATACTGGTCAGATGCAAAATGTACCAAGGGAGAAACCTCCTGTTAAAATACAACGACATCGTGGACCGACGGTCATTCCAGGTTCGCCTCGTGTGGGCCCGGCTCAAATAACATCTCCTACACCTACTATCGAGGAACAATCATCAACCCAGCCACAAACTGTGCCAGATACAGAAAAAGTTGTTCAAATATCTGAAATACCGGAAACAGATGTAGCTGTTCAACCAGTTCAACAAGCATCTAGCGAACTAGTTTCACCTCGACCTGCTGATACTGAACCACAAACTTCCGAAGTGACAGAAGAAGCTTCACCTGAAGTTTCGACTGGACATAAGCGTTCTCGGAATGAGGTTGAAGAAGAACAGCTTTGTAAGTCATCATAAAACATCGTAGCTTTTTATATAGAATTTATTCGATTATAATCTAACAATTTAACTTTTATTTTTCTTTACATAAGCTACTACAGCTACGCAAGACGAAGTCGTTAATACTGCAACAATTCCCTCAAACGTTGCAGAAGATGGAAATGAGGGAGAGAATGTTAATACCGTTATTCCAGTTATAATTGAAGATGTTGATGGAAATCCGGCAACAAAAAAGATGAAACTTGAAGATGATTGATTAATTAGAAGTTTTGATTTAGAATTTTTCCTTAATTATTAATAAAAAGAATTTTGATTATGTATATCATCATGTGTAAATAAATAAAAATAAATGACCAACTATTTTTAGTTAAAATTACTAAAATCCTGATGTTACACGGAGAAATCTTAAACATGATCTAAAAAAATTTTTTTAACTAGATATACTACTACTCTGATATAATTTTCTTTAACAGTTGAGAATGTTTAGGAATTTTGGTATTTTTCGTCATGCTAGTAAGGTACACGATACTTTTCAGAATTCTATAGGAAAGTTCAGAGATAGTTATTAATTTTTGTTTTTTTTTTTAGAATTTACAAAGCAAGTTAGTGTTAACAGGAGGAATAGGAGGAGCTATCTTTACAGAAATAATATTATTAAATAAAGGTTTCCCGGTAATTTATGCAGAGGAGAACTCTGCTAAAAAGGTAGACTACAGTTTTTTCACGTGTATTTTTTATTTAAATACTAGTATAATGACCTTTTTTTTAAAAAAAAAGTTATGTATTTATGATGAACCTAAACCTGACGTCGTTTTAGTAGAGTCACCTACAAGGTTAGAAGAAGCAATTAAACAAGCCAGAATTCACGTTACGAAAACTGCTTGTGATTTGGAGGTAAATGAAAAATTTTCTTTTAAAAAATAATAAATAAATTAAATAAAAAATAGGATGGATGAATTGTTATATAATATAAGAAATTTTTTTTTAATTTCAAAATATAAAAAGCGACAATTTCATGGTGTAATTAATAAATGGATCACCATTGAACAAAATACCGAGAGTAAGTGTTATTTTTTTTTTTGGTTGTTTTTTTTTTATAAAAAAAAGTTTTTAATATTTTATTTAGAAACCATAAAAGAAATAATAGCACCAAATGAGCGATTAATGCCAGAAGCATTATACGTAACAGTAGCAGGGTTAGCAGGCACAATCATAGCAAGAAATCGTAAGAATATATATATTTATTTTTTTTTACCTCAAACTTTCTTCTCTTTTATATAAAATTATTTTTATTTAATATATATATGTATGTTTTTAGGTAACATTTTACTTCGAATTGCGACTCCATTAGTTTTTACAATCGCTTCATCATATTACTTTTTACCACAAACGTCACAAAACATTTCAAAAAAATTTCAAGAAAATCAACATAAATATCCACAATTATTAAAAGTTCATCGTTCTATCTCTGATATAGCTAGTGATGCTAAACAAAAAGTTGATACATCTATTTCCGATTTAAAAAATATTGTAGGTGGTGATGATAACGATAAATCCAAATAAAAGAAAAAGTGATATATTATTAAGAATATTATTATTATTTTTTTTTTTTTGCTACATAATTTTACCAATTATAATAAATTGCAAAAATGTTTGATAAAATTGAAATCTTGATCTTCTTAATCCTCTTTTTTATCAACATCATCCTTGGATTCCTCATATTTTTCCTCATCATCTACATCTTCAACTGTGGTACGAAGATCTTTATTAACATCTTGACTTCCACTAGCTACCTCATCGTCTTCAGGGAACCTTTCTTTTTTCTTTGGAATCTCCCAAGCCCAAAGTGGAATAAAACTATCTACAAATCCCACATCCTCGAATAAATTGGGGAATAACCATATTCCAGGAGGAAGTACAATCATGGTCATAATATATAAGATTAATCTTATAACTGCTAAGACCATAAATACTCCAAAAAGACTCAAAATGGCCACAGAAACGTACCAAACAGCATCTCTTAATATAGAAGGCCAAAGAGGAAATAATACAGCTGCAAATACAATAGATATCAATCCAATTCCTCCCAATATTGTCATTAATTGTGATCCTTCATAAAACCATGCATAATATTGATCCTCAGCCCACGATTGATAAGATGTTATTTCTAATTTTTTACGTGATCCGCTCTCACTACGTTCAACACGCAAGAAAAAGGCATGGGCTAGAACCTCTTCTAAAACTTCACGGGCTTCGTTTTCACTGGTAATCTTTGGAACCTCTTTGAGTTTACCATAGGATTCTTTAAGAAGTGCCTTCAATGCAGATTTACCTAATTAAAATTATCAAATCGGGAATTTATTTCAATCCTAAAAAAAAAGGTGGTTATACTCGAAGTGCGAATACCTTTAAAATAAACCACTCTTTTTCCATTTAAGATTCCTTGTCGATTTTTTAAATTAGAACTAGATCTCAAGAATTTGGCAACATTCAAAATGTTTTGGGGGGCTTGTTTCTGTTTTTCCATTAAAATTTTATAAATTTTTAGTTATTAAAAGAAAAGGATAAAATCGAAACTAGACTTTTTTTTTTTTTTTTTTTACTTTAATATTTAATAATTTGTATAATTTGGTAACCAATTGAATATAGCCACACATTCTGAATATATAATTTCCAAATTTATCAAGATTTTCATCCGGGAAATTTTTATTTGATCTCATGTTTGTGTAACTAATTAAAGGCTAAGAAAATTTAACTTTTAAAAATTTATTACATCCTATGAAACTACCGCACTTTTAAAAAGAAAACTAAATTACATTCTATGATAATACATTCGACAATATATCCGTTCAAAAGTGTTAAACTCTCCTAACAAAAAAAAAGAAATTTTGCTACTTTCAATTCTATAATTCATCCTGTATAAAGATTTAAAGAAAAAATTAGATCATTATAAAAATAAATAAATAATAAAAGTAAAATCCTTAATGTTTTTTGTTAATCAGACAAGGCTGAAACTATTAATCTCAACACGATTGATTTTTTATTCAGAGTGTAGGATAAGATTTATATCATCATACAAAAGACAATTTCTTTTCTAGCAAAAAATGAAAATTTATAATTGATAAAACGCTTACCATATTTCTTATAATATTTAATCACAAAATAACCATATAATGTATTTTCTTTCGCTTGGTTATTTAAATATCTATCTACAGACAAACATTTGGTTTAACTTTCCTCGAAATCTAATAGTTCGAGATTCATTAAAAAAAAAAAAAAAATTTTTTTATGTAAATTTATATGATTGGACAAGGTAGATCAATCTTAATTAGAGCATGATCATTTTGATCAATGTAATGATAATTGGCTAGTAATCACATGATGTATTCGGGTCTCCTCAAAATAAAGTTCACGAAATTTAAGGTTTTTAAGATTTAAACTTTATTGCCAATATGACCAAAAAATTTTTTGGTCCTTGTGCTATAAATGATTGTAATAAATCTATAAACCGTTTTCGTACTTTTACAATAACTTGTAAAAATAAAGCAATTGCTAAAGAAACTTATAGTAATTACAATGTAGAAGTTGGACTGTCATAGTCATTATCTAGAAATTTATGAGCCAGACCGATATCTAAAGTATAACAAGTTTGAAAAAAAGGCCAAAAATTAATGACAAAAAAAAACTATATAATAATTTCAGATTTTCAGAAATATATACCATTACTTATTGAAGTTTTATGTAAAAAGCAGCGAAAAGAACATATAGGCTTAGTATTAAACCCAGCATGATTGAAGAAGCGGATCCACATTTAATAGGATTTTTTGATATGATGGTGAATACATTAATACCTAATACACGATCAGCATATAATAAAGAAGAGGCAAAAAAAAGTTGTAGCAATTTGTTACATAATGGCAGCACAAAGAAACATGTTTTGTATTAAATATTGGATTATTTTTAGATTCAACTGGATCAACTAATGAATCTATAAATGTAATACATAAAATTGGAGATCAGTATGCGTAAGAACAGTTGATTTTCATAATAAAACAAGTATAAAAGAAATTTTTCAAAAAAGTGTAATACACTATACATTAAATATAATAATTAATATATTAATGCTTTGTTTTTATTTTTTTTACTAGAGTAATTTTTTATATGTATTTAATATAGATGACTTTTATTCAATAAAAGAAAAAAGAAGACCAGTTACTATTTGGCTTTCAACAACTCATTATATGGTAACATTAATATTTAAATAAATTATTAGCTGTTTACAAATTCCCATTATACATAATGATGCTTCAATTAATAATCCTATAAACATAAATGCATATAACATTAATTATCATCTAATTCATAAATATTTTGGAATTTTTGATAAATCATATAAAGAACATAAATTTCAATAGATTCAACAAAAAACAGAACTTACTAATTTTGACTGTATTGAATTACTTACAGTATATAGCTATGATAATGCTATTTTAGAAAAAAAGATAAATAATCAATGAAAAATGTACATTTAGTTGAAATGAAAGAATAACAATTACATTTAATATAAGATTACATAAATGCATTAAAAATAATTCTAGAAAGTACTGATAATAACATCTTAATGGTTATGTAACTCCAGTTATTACAGATTGACCAGATCAATTATTTATTTGAAAAGCTATAGTTCATTTACATATACAAGAACAAATAACAAGAAATTTAATTCCATTTAGTATACAATCTTTTATTGCTATTCTTAAACATTTGCATATATCGCTTAATAGAAAAGAATAAGTAATGCTTTTGTATTATTCATTTTTTAAACTTTTATTTCATTTTCTTTTTGAAGAACGAGTAAAACTAGCAAAAAAAACCAAACTCTAAAGAATAAATCTTCTATTAAAATTGGTATATAATGAATGGATAAAAATTAGAATAATTATCAAAAAAAAATTGGAACTATATGTAAGAATATTGAATACAAAATGATTCTGGATTTATTAGATAATTTAATTCCAGCAACTTTTAATATATACAGATGATTCCTTAACCTATTTTCAAAATAGTTGCGGTTGCAACCTATATAAAAATATAAAGTTATAGAATGCAGATTGCAATTAGTAAGACCTAGTTGCAGTACTATCTTTATTAATATATATACTATTTTACGTATATGGATATATACATTACGTTAGAAAAGTAAAAATTATAATAAAGCATCATTGGTATTTTTGTACGGTATTCTTTATTAGGATCCTTTTTTGAAAGTTATAAAAACTTTTTTATTTAATTTTAATGATTATCCAAAGGAGAATATGCATATCAAAATTTAAATAAGTATATTTATAAATGCAAATGCAATGATATTAATAAATAGGTATGTATAATTGGTAAGTTTTTTTTTAAAAAAATAATTTAATACCAAATTAAATAAAAGTCTAACATTTTATAAAAATTCTTATATTTTAGATGAATTTAAAGAGACTTGTCAAATACATCGACATTATCCTTATAATCAATTAAAACTTGATTTTCTAACAAATAAAGCAAATTTATTTTTGTTGCAATATGTTTATCAAATTTACCAAAATTGTGATTGTAATCACTAGGGTTCCTTAAAATTGAATTGAATCAAATATTTAAGCAATTTGAATTTGATTGAATCAATTTGAATCAATTTGAATTTAATTGAATTGAATCAAATATTTGTCAAATCAAACCAAATTAAATATAAAATTTTTTTAATTTTTACAATAATATATTAAAATAAAATTATTCTAAAATTTTAATTAAGAAAATTTATTAATAACTGTCATTGCAGCTTCAGTTTACTAAGAAAACTTAGTAATAATCACCATCTCAGCTTCATAATCATTTTATTAGTAAAAAAATATTTTTAAAGCTACAGACACATTTTTTACTATGTTTTCTTAGTAAAAAATATTTCTGAAGCTATAGATGCATTTTTTACTATATTTTTTTAGTAATATTTCTAAAGCTGTAAATATATTTTTTACTATGTTTTCTTAGTAAAAAGGCATTTCTGAAGCAATAGAAACACTTTTTACTATGATTTTTTAGTAAAAAAAGCATTTTTGAAGTTATAGAAATGCTTTTTATTATGGTTTTCTTAGTAAAAAAATTATTTTCAAAGCTGAGGAGATGCTTTTTACTATAGTTTTCTTAATAAAAGTCACTCCTGAAGCTTTGAAGATAACTTTACTATTGATTTGAATTAAATCAAATTTGATTACTTGATTTGAATTTGATTGAATCAAGTAAAACATTAATTTGGATTTGATTAAATAAATCATTCTTTGATTTGAATTTAATTAAATCAAAAATATAAACTTAAATTTGTATTTGATTTGATTTTTAAATTGAATATTTAAATATTAAATCAAATTGCAAAACCCTAGTAGCTATATACTTAATACAACTAGAAAAAGAAAAAAACCTACAACCTATTACTTTGCTATATTAAATCAACAAGTAAATATTAAAAATCTATTAATCAAATATCATTTAAAATATTCTTCTAAACAGATGCTAGTAATGCATAC